ATCAGGAACTCTTGTATATCCCGCTGTCCGTCCTGTCTTCCCATTCTTTACTAGCACATGGCAGAATCCATCTGTCGCTGAGATGAGGGACGACAATGTGCTCACAGGACATGTTTTCATGCAAATCAATGTCTGCTGCTATTGAAGAAGGGGCAGGAGTGGTCACATTGAGGATTCTCCATCTCAGAGTCATGAGAGCTAGGAGAAAGATCTTGTTTGACCCCAAACTTTATATCGAGTAGCAAGCAAAAAGCATCTACTCCTCCTCTGGGAGTGGGTCAAACACACACATGCACAGAGAGCGAGAGAGAGACCCATCTAGATGCCAATGTCCAAGGACTTTTGAAAACAGAGTAAAGTAGGAACAGTAAGATCAACTCTCCTGTAGTTCAGGCCTTACACATAGCACAAGAGAGGTGACAGTACGCCCTTGTAGGCATTTGAAGCCTATGCTATGTAGAAATAACTTTGACAAGAAGGAAAATGACAAGCCTAATTCAAGAAACCCATTCAGTAGGAAAAAAGTAAACTGTCTTCCTCACTGATTATCTGTCCAAAGAAGAGACCTTTTCAGTGCACATATACTTTCCTTCGTCTCTAATATTCTGTTATGAGGGGGCACCCTCCCAAAAAAACCAGAATTTTTCCCCTAAGCTAGTTATTTAAATTTATTTTACAAAACAACCTTATGACCTTCGAAGTACTCTCCATTACACTTAATACATTTGTCAAGCCTGCCATTTCATTCTTGGAAACATTTTTCAAAATCATCTGAATGGCTGACGTACCTCCCTCGTTTTTTCCTTCACCTCGTCTACATCATCAAATCACTGCCCTTTCATGTCTTTCTTCATTCACGGAATATAAAAGAAGTCACATGGAGTGAGGTCAGGTAAGTAAGGTGGGTTGGGCAAGAGAGGCATGCTGTCTTTTGCCAAAAACTGGCTCACTGAGATGGCTACATGAGCACTTTCATTGTGATGGCAAAACCAGTGCTATGCCTGCCATAAATGAGGCCTTTTTATGTCGTACACTTTTACGCTATCTTTTAAGAACCTCTAAATAGAAAGCTTGATTAACAGTCTGACCCAGTGGAACAAACTCCAAATACACTATACCCCTCACATCAAAAAAACAAATGAGCATCAGTTTGGGGGGAGGGGTACACCTTCGTATATGTAACGGTTGAAATTCAATAAAAATTACAGACAAACAAGGAGCTTCCCCCAAAACAAAACAAAACAAAAACTTATTTCAAAAGATAAAAACAAGTAGAACAAGAGATGGCTCAGATGTTGGAACTATCCAACAGGAAAATGAAAATCACTGTTATTCATATGTTGATTAGTTTAGTAGAAAGAAATGAAACATGAGCAGGTTGAAACGTATAATCAGAGAGATGAAAATATCTTAAAAGTTAAAGGAAAATATTGAAATAAAATAAAAACCACAGATGAAAATTTCCTTTAAATGTTTATCATCAAGCTCTACATGGATTAGTAAAATTGAAAATAGGTTAATGGAAAAAATTCTAGCCACAACACTCTTAAGAGAAAAGTGGAATAAAAAGAAAAAAATGAAGCATTGCATACCTGTGGAATAATAGTAAAAGAAATACTATATGTAAGTGACTAACACAGCTAGCATACCTTAACATCCAAGATAAAAGAGAGAGAGTCAGAAGTATTTGATTAGATAACTTTCCAAAACTATGAACAATTATAAATCAACCAAAAATTCATAGGAATCCAATCAGGTTAAATAATACACAAAATATTATCAAGCCTGCCAGATTCAAACTGCTAAAAAAACAAAAGTAAGGAGAAAATATTGTATAAGTGGACCCCAAATGAAATAAATGTTATCTATTGAAAAATAAAAAGAATTCGGCTCAATTTTCATTTGAAAAATGTCAGCCAGAGTGCTATTATTAAAGCATGAGGGAAAAAAATGTCAATCTAGATTTCTAGACTCAGTGAATATATCTTTCAAAACTAAATGTGAAATGAATATTGTTATAAAAAAAATAAAGAATTTATTATTAATTTTCCCTACAAGCAAAGTTAAAGAAAATCTTAAAAGAAAATGCTACTAGACTATAATATGAATTTTGACAAAGAAATATGTAGAACTGGAAATAAAAATGTTTTGATATCTTATTTTAAGTTAGAAAGACTAAAATGTCCAGAGGGAAAAAAATTATGAGTTGTAATATTTGCAATATATAGAGACTTGAAATGTATGATAAAGTAGTACAAGGAATAGTAGATAAGAAAATGAAATTATGTGAGACTTAGGCTATATGAGAAGGATTCAAAAAGTTCACGAGAAAAAACTCGTTATCTTTTCATTCAATTTTTCAATAAACTCTTTTAAGTACCTTCATATAGGTATTGATATAATGCTGTTAAATGCAAAGTATATTGATTTGAGATATATATTATGAACCCAAGAGTAACCACAAAACTACTACTACCACAAAAGGTAACAAAGGTATATACATAATAAGCCAAATGAGGTATAAAAGGAAATCATGAAAATACTTGATCTGAAAGTATTCAAGGAAAGAGGTGGAAAAAAATAGAGAGAAGAAAATAAATATTTAAATGGTCTATTTAAGCCTAATCATCTCAATAATTACATAAAATGTAAAATTTTGTGCATTTCATCTAAAAGGTAGGGATTGTCAGATTAGACATAAAACAAGATAAAAATATTTATTAATTACAAAATATGCAATTTAGCATAAAAATATACTCAATGTCAAATCGTAGCAACCATAGAGTATAGGGCAGAACTGCGTCTGAGTTTCTGAGGCTCTTTGCGGGGTAGAAAGCCTGTCTTTTCTCCCTCAGAGCAGCCAGCGGTCCCACCTGTAGACCTGGAGGACTGCAGCCCAATGCACCACCGCGCTCCTCAATCAAGACGCAGGCATGGGAAAAGCAAAGGAATGAAGACTTCTCTGTCATGAAACCATTAAGCAAAAGAAATGTATTAGAACTGTATTAATGTGAGAAAACTTTGACTCTAGAACAAGGACTTTTATTAGAATTGCATAATAATGATGAAAAAGAATGGTACATCCATAAATTGCCAGTTCACCT